ATCAAAATGTCGAGGACCAAAGGTCACCAATGTCGGAGATAACCGAGTCCAGATGTAACCGGTGTCCAACTGTGATGCAGCCGAGTGTCAACCTCAACAATCTCCAAGTCTCCAATCAGGTAAGTACCACAGTCTCGTATCACCGAAATCCAACTCTGATATCTGTCCAACTGGATAGTCTCCAATCTGAAGAAGAAGAAGAAGAAGAAGAAGAAGAAGAAGAAGAAGAAGGAGGAAGAGGAGAGAGAGAGAGAGGGATCCTCCAAGCTCCCGGTACCGGCAATGGCCGCCGTGCTGGCTCAGTCGCCCTGCTGCTGCTCCGCTCGCTGCTGCGCTATGCTGCGCTCCTGCTTCAGCCCCTGCGCTAAGTTTAGCGCATCAAAACAGTACACTGGTACTGACCATGCCGTGCCGGTAGAGTTCCGGTAGGCCGATCCCTCAACTGAGGCAGGATACCGGTACTTATACCGGTAGGCAATGGTCTGGCCTCAATGCTGCGAGGCCAGGCCAGACCCTGGACCGTCCAGTTGGACGGTTCAGCCTCAATCGGCGGGCGGCAGCTTCAAGAGCGCCGCCAGGCCCAAACGAAGTGTCGTTTGGGCCTACCCGATGGGTGCTGGTCCAAAATCAGGCCTTTAGGGCCTGTAACCCCAAAAGGTTGGGCCTTTAGGCCCTGGTGTGTCCCTCCGGCCCTAAGTCGGGTCCGGTAGGACCCGTGTGAGTCGAAGATGTAACACAAGGCCTCCATTTTCACGGCAGCTATTTCCTGTAGAGACACGCGATACTGGTGGTTTAAGTTTCTAATGATGTTGATACAAAAAAGAACTCAGAGAAATAAATAAACAAGCTTCTGATGATTTCAGTTGACCCCGGTAAGAATGTACGAGAATTTCGGCCCCGCAAACATCATTTACCTGACCCTCAAGTTTCAAGGTCCCACTTACCTGAATTCTTTGTTCCTGGCAATTGATCTTGGTTATGTGCTGTCAGAAATGAAGAAATCTGGCAAATGGGATCTTGCCCCAGGTAGTTTCTGACAAGGACATGTGGCAATCTTGTCAAACTTCCAGGGGGGTGCAAGGGGGTCAGAGCTTATCTCCCCAGAAAATGCAGCCTGAGGGAGAAAAATATCTGTTCGGCAGGTTCGGAAAGATTTGAGACTGAAGTTTCATGTTTTCTGCAAAGACAGAGAACCGTTTCACCAATAGAACGTAAGGAAAGAAAGCCCGTGGATTTGTTCTGTTTTTCACTTGCAGATAGTGAAACTTTCACATTCATTACAGCACAGCCTTTTTTCATGGTTAAGGGGGACTGAAGATGATGTTGGGAGAGAGGGAAGAGGAAGATAGGGCTAGCATTTTGTGATTCAACAGAAAGAAGGCAAAAAATGTTTGAATTTGTGAACATCAATATGAAATATTTAATATTCAATATTGTAAATATGTGAAGGATATGATGGAGTAGAACAAAACTGCAACCAGTCAGCTTTTTGTGGCTAGTCTTGTAAGTACTTGAATCCTTGAGAAAAGTGTCGTTTCGGTTTCGGTGCCCCAAAAGAACCTGCGTCCAGCAGAAAAGTGTGGCCAAAAACCTAAACGGCAGAGTGGGCTGCAGAGAAGTGCAACCAGAATACTTCAATTGTAGAAAAGTTAATTTCATACTTCTTTTTCTTTTTCTGTTCTTGTTCTTTCCCATTTGGTAGAACTGCAGGAGTGACAAAAAGGAGGCCCCGTTATGTTCAGGGACATCCCCTTTTTTTTTTTTTTTTGTGTGTGTGTGTGTGTTAAAAAACAAACCCAAATTCTCCTCTTATTCCCTCACAAATCATAACGAACCATCCATAACGAAAAAGTATAGATAGACAGTATACTAGAAAATGCAAGGTTGGCCACATTTGTGTGGTTCAGCGCCATGTGCCCACACACCCGTGTGTGTGTGTGTGTGTGTGTGTGTGTGTGTGTGTGTGTGTGTGTGTGTGTTGTAACTCAGAGCGCTGTGTTTCAGAGCCCCAAAAGAACCTGCATCCAGCAGAGAAGTGAGGCCAAAAACTGAAACGGCAGAATGGGCTGCAGGAAAGTGCAATGTGTGTGTGTGTGTGTGTGTGTGTGTGTGTGTGTGTGTTCATATTCAATCTCACAGCGCTTCCGCCATGTAATCCACCATAACAGTGGTACACCAGGTTCAGACATATCTGAAACGGTCTCACCCAGTTAACCTGATGTTTGCAGGCACAGAGATTCGATCCCTAGACCTGTGCCCTAACCTTGTGCATTGAACCTGTGTGCCGAGTGAGGTTCGATCCCTAGACCTACCCTGTACCCTGTACCCTGTACATTGACCCTGTGTGCTGAGGAGATTCGATCCCTAGACCTATCCTGTACCCTGTACATAGGCCCGGCGATCTGTGTAGGACTTGATCCCTAGGTCTGTAGGATAGGAGTTGAGTCTGTTACCAGTAGGCGTAAAGAGTCTGTTCTAGAAGTCTCTACCTAAGTCTACTCTGGGCCTAGAGTCTGTCTGTCGGTCTGTAGGTTCTAGAAGTCTGTAGGACCCTGTAGCTCAGTCCAGTCAGCAGGTACTAAGGGAAAGGGGCTGCACGTGGGGACAGGGAAAGGCCTACGCGTGCTGGAGAAGACTCCAGAAGACGCATATGGGCCCAGGGCCTCACGGTTTGACCCACATAGTGAACAGAAGGCTCCGGAAACGCGGCTGGGGCCCAGGCTGTCACACGTTTTGGCCCAGGCCCACGCGGTTTGAGGCAGGGCCCGGGTACCTCCGAAGAAATATAAATAAACAGGCAGCGTCCAGCCATTCATTCATTCGCCTGTGAGCCATGTGGAAGTGCTGCCTTGGTATCTTGTGCGTGGAGGACTGCAGGTGCCTGGAGACGAAGCGGGCTGTGAGGAAGACAGCGGCAATAGCTGGCCAGTGAGGAAGACACCGACAGCCATAGCTAGGGGGAGGAAGACGACGGCGGCTATAGCCGCCCAGCTGTTGGTGTAGACAGAGTGTACAGAGTGTGTGTGTTTGTGCAGCGTGGACATTCAGGGTGATCCTCGTACGTGCGTGCATGCGAGAGTGTGGGGAAGTGAGGCTGGTGGTAGAGACAGTGTTCGGCGGCCATAGCCGCAAGTTGTGCAGTTGATTCAGACTGAGTGTAATACAAGTTCATTGTTGTTTCTGAGTTGGAAGAGTTCGATTTTGCCATCGGTTCTCAAGTGTGCATGTTGCTGTCTCTTATACACATCTAGATGTGTATAAGAGACAGGTTCTGAACAGAGTTTAAGAGCAAGTTCATTGTTGTTTCTGAGTTGGAAGAGTTTGGTTTGCCATCGGTTCTCAAGTTTGCATGTTGCAAGCAAGTCCAGAGTCGAGTCTGATTGCATTGGTATCGGAGCTGGTACCCGTTGTCCACGCCGGCGGAGCTGCAGCAAGCGACGAAGAAGGAAGAAGCCGCCATAGCCGGAGCTCGGCAGAGAGAGAGAGAGAGAGAGAGAGAGAGAGAGAGAGAGAGAGAGAGAGAGCAGGGGGGACGACAGCCATAGCTGCCAAGCTCGGGAAAGAAGACGGTCAACAAGAAGAAGAGAAAGGCACAAAGAAAAGGAAGAAGAAAGTGACGAAGAGGGAGACAAAGTCAGCCATAGCCAAGGTGAAGAAGACAAAGGTTTTGACGAAGAAGAAGATCCACCATAGCCGGAAGGTTGAGGGTTGACCAGGAGAGTTGACCAACGTTGATCGGGAGTCGACCACGGGCGTTGACCGGGTGTTGACCAACGTCGAATGAGACTTGACCAAGGGTGTTGATCGGGCATTGACCGAAGTTGACCAGGGCGTTGATGAGGAGCATTGACCGGCGAGTTGACCAAGACCGTTGACCGCAACGTCGACCCAGCTGGAGCGAGAAGATTACCGGTACCATCTCTCCAAGCCCTGGCCTATCCCCTTACCCCGTGGATGTGCACCTTCACCTTGGTACCTGCTAACGTTAAGTCTGTCAAAGTCAGTCAGTCCTATCTCCCTGTCACTTTTGTCCAAGTCGGTAGGATTCTGTGTATGTGGCCATAGAACCGTAAGCCTAGCCCGAGTAGTGAATCAAGGCCCCTCGATAGAAGTTAACCTGTTCGGTCTACGTGTTGAGGTGCGGAATTCTTGTTGATTGTGCACCGTCACCATGGACCTTAGGTCTGGAACTAGTACCACCCCCTACAGCAAGGAGCAAGAGGAGAGAGTTGCCGCTATCCTGCGAGAGAGGAAGGAGAGAATGGAGAAGAGGGAACTGATTAAGCAGGCCAGCCCGAGTAGTGAATCAAGGCCCCTCGATAGAAGTTAACCTGTTCGGTCTACGTGTTGAGGTGTGGAATTGTTGTTGATTGTGCACCGTCACCATGGAACTTAGGTCTGGAACTAGTACCACCCCCTACAGCAAGGAGCAAGAGGAGAGAGCTGCCGCTATCCTGCGAGAGAGGAAGGAGAGAATGGAGAAGAGGGAACTGATTAAGCAGGCCAAGATGCTGGCCCTGCTGGAGGAGCAAGAGACAAAGAAGAAGCAGATGGAGGAGGAGTTGAAGGAGCAGGAGGAGAAGACGGCGGCTATACAAGAGGTGGGGAAAGAAGAAGAAGAAGAAGAAGAAGAAGAAGAAGAAGAAGAAGAAGAAGAAGAAGAAGAAAAGAAGTAGAGTAAGAAGAGTCATTGGAGAGAAGGAGAAGGGAAGCTAGCACAAGCAAAGATATTGAGATAGCAAGGATTGCACAAGAGTTGGCCGCACATTTGGAGATGGGGGAAGATAGGGAGGCCGAGATGGCCATACCCCAGGAAGAGAGAGAAGCAGCAAGGAGGCAGATTGAGACAGAAAGGGACCCGGTGAAGAGAAAGGCGAAGGAGGAAGAACAGCAAATGAGCAAATGGCATGGAGATACTGGCTGTCCCAAGAGAGGGTAAGACGATTGGAAATGGCGGAAAGGGCAGAGAAGGATTTGAAAGCGGCGGAGACCAGGATGGGGAAAATCAGGGAAGAGACAGAGATAGCCATTGAATGTACTACCTTGAGGTTGCCAAGCCCCAGTTTGACTGGGACAAGAAGATGCTAAAACACAAGTTGCCTGATGGAAGAACAGTTAGACTGACTAAGTTCAAAGCCAGTAGTATAATCGATATCTATGGCTGCTTGTGTGCATCAGCGTTCTATAACTATTATAAACAGAACCAAGAGGAGGGTGTGTACCTAGTGTATGTCTCTAAGAAAGGGCTGGCCATTAAAACACCCCCAGAGATAGAACACGTCATTGCTAAGTTCCCTGATTAAGGAGCCTACAGGAGTCGTAGAGAGGGAGATTGTCCACGCCATAGAAATCATTCCAAGGAGTAAAACCCCAAAGGGAAGAATCTATAGGATGGCTCCGGCCGAGTTGGACGAACTTCGGCGGCAACTGAAAGAGCTTACAGAGAAGGGATGTATCCGACCTATGACTTCCCCATACGGATCTCCAGTACTATTTGTACCAAAGAAGGGGGGTACCTTAAGGATGTGCATTGATTATAGAGGCCTCAATGCCATCACCGTGAAAAACGGAGAGCCTCTACCTCGCATAGACGACCTATTGGATAGGGTGTAGGGATGTAAGTACTATAGTAAGAAAGACTTAAAATCCGGCTACCATTAGATTGCAATAAGACCTAAGATCAACACAAGACTGCTTTTCAGACCAGGTACGGTCTGTATGAGTTTGTAGTGATGCCCTTTGGCCTTTGCAATGCGCCGGGTACGTTCCAGCATGCTATGAATAGGATCTTCCATGACCACTTAGATAAGTTTGTCGTTGTCTATCTCGACGATATTCTTATCTTTAGTAAGTCTGTCGAGGAGCATGCACARCACGTTGAGACTGTACYTTCACTYCTGCGACAACACAAGTATAAGGTCAACCTAGAGAAATGTGAGTTCGGACGCACTAAGATCTTATACTTGGGTCATGAAGTATCCGCGGAAGGTATTAGGCCGGAAGATGCGAAGGTGGCTAGTATCAGGGACTGGCCACGACCTCAGACTGTTACTGAGGTCAGATCTTTCTTAGGAATGTGCGGCTACTATAGGAATTTTGTAAAGAACTATTCTACAGTCGCCTCTCCTTTGACTGATCTAACTCGACTTGACACGCCGTGGGACTGGAGTGATGAGTGCGAGGCTGCTTTCAAACGATTGAAGCATGCACTAATGAATCATGAGGTTCTCATGGTGCCCGATCCTCAGAAGCCATTCATAGTGACCACTGACGCAAGCCAATACGACATTGGCGCAGTACTGGCTCAGCAGGATGGGAAGAAATTGAGGCCGATTGAGTACATGAGTAAGAAAATGCCATCAAAGAAACTGGCAAAGTCCACCTATGAAAGGGAACTCTATGATCTATACAAAGCACTTGTCCATTGGAGGCACTTTCTATTGGGAAGGTTCTTTTATTTGAGAATTGACCATAAGACCCTCAAATGGATCAAGACACAACCGGCTCTCTCTGATGCACTCAAGCGATGGATTGAGGTCATAGATCAATATGACTTCAAGCTAGAGTATCTGAAGGGAGAGTACAACAAGGTTGCAGATGCGCTGTCACGTAGAGCAGACTACCTAGGGGCGCTAGTTTCTGAGTTTGGTGTATCTGAGGAACTAACTCAATCGTTGGTGGGAGCCTATCAGGAAGACCCTGTCACGATGGACATCATACGCAAGCTTCAGGCAAAAGACAAGGCCACATAAGATGAGTTTGTGATGGTGGACGGGCTTCTCTTTCTTGATAAGGCCGGTTGTAAAAGATTAGTGATTCCATCTAGTGAACGTTTGCGTAGTTTGTTTCTAGGAGAATGTCATGACGCAACCGGACACATTGGTTACAAAAAGACAAGTGCCAATCTAGTACAACGATTTTGGTGGCCTGGAATGCTAGATGACGCAAAGAAGTATGTAGAGACCTGTCAGGTCTGTCAGCGGGACAAGCTGCGAACTCAAGCACCGCTTGGGTTGCTAAAGCCCTTGCCTATCCTCGCTGGTCCAGGACAGAGTGTTTCCATGGACTTCATGGACACCCTGGTGACTAGTAAGAGTGGCAAGAGGCACATCTTTGTCATCATTGATCGATTCACCAAATACGCTAGACTAATTGTCATGCTAGAGACCGCAAGGACTGACCACATCATCAAGTTGTTCATGGACAACTGGGTGCGTGATTTTGGTTTACCAAAGTCAATTGTTAGTGATAGAGATGTCCGCTTCACAAGTGAGTTGTGGAAGAAGACTGCTGAGCAGATGGGCAGTCAACTTCAGATGACTTCAGGGAATCATCCCGAAGCCAACGGACAGGCCGAGCAGATGAACAGAGTTGTACAACACCTGCTGAGGCATTACATCAAGCCCAGCCAGGATGACTGGGATGAGAAGTTGCCTCTCATCGCCAGCCTGTACAACAACGCTGTACACAGCACTACCCACGTTAGTCCTAACCAACTGCATTTGGGATGGAAGCCTAGATCAGCTCTGGACTTCCTCCTACCTGAAAACCGACCCTCTGCAACTCCAGGCACACTTGAGTACGGTGTGCAGTATGAGAAGTTGCTGCAGCAAGCTGTCGAGCACATCAAGAAAGCTCAGCAAGCAATGATTGCTTCTGAGAACAAACATCGTCGACAGTCCTCATTTCAGGTAGGGTAACGTGTCTGGGTCAAGGCTAGTGAGCCAGGATAGGAATTCGGCATCTCTCGCAAACTAATGCCTCAGTATTTTGGTCCATGGGAAGTCCTGGATATAGTTGGGGATGAGATGGATGGTCCTACCTATGTTATCCGTATCCCTGGTCACTTACACACTCACCCTGTCTTTCATGCCTCAAAGCTTGCACCTTTCGCTGAGACAGATCAATTTCCTTCCAGGAGATCAATGTTGCCCCCAACCATGGATGGTCAAGTGGACATCGACGACATTGTGGATCACAGAGATCTGCCTGTTCCAAAGCCACTGGGTAGAGGAAGACCTCCAAAACCCAAGCGGGAGTATCGCATCCGATTCAGGCATCATACGGATCCGAAGGAAGATCGGCGGTTCACCAGAGAGGAACTGATTGACACAGCTCCTCAAGCGGTGGCAGATTATGAGAGAATGTTAAAAGGGAAGGCACCTGCGAAGTACGCATCTCAGCGGACTTTCGAAGCTAAGGGGGATGCAATGTGAGGATTGAGCCCTCAAGAAGGGGCCTTGCCATGATGTACATTTCTGGGCTAAGGCCCCAGCAAGCCTCGTGCCCGCCCTAAGTGAAGGCGGGCCAGCAAATCAACAAGAGCCCTCTGGGCAAACATTTCACGAAGTGGGGTCCATACAGTTGCAGCACGCCAGTTGGTTGGAGTGCACCGAGTATCGAAGCTCTGCAAATGCAGAAACCCCAGGGCCCCAGAGTTGGTTAGGCCCTGGGCACATAAACGTGAGGCCGACATTGCATACTGGAAATAGAGGCTGAAAGTGCCAATGGGATACCGGTCCACTATCTGAATCTGGACGCAGGCCTGGATGAAAGAGGCACAACTGTACTGCGTGGGCCCCAACCACATTGGGCCTGGGTGCAGGTACTGGGGCCCAGGCGCAGGCTCAAGGGAGGCCGCCCACACGCAACACTGGCATATAGGCAGAGAGGGCGAGTGGGCAGGGATCTTGGCCAATGCAGGCATTGCGGGCACGCTGCTGCATTGTAGCGCTGCACTTGCGCTGCGGCTGAGGGAGACAGGCTAGCGCTAAGCGGTGGGGCGCTGCCTGGGCGCAGGGCGCTGGCGGCCATAGCCGGGCTGCCTGAAGGGCACAGAGGAGGTGAAGGGCGAAGGTGGTTCTTCGGAGGTGAAGGGCGCTGTGTGGGATAACAAGGGAGAGTGAGGGAGAAGAGAGGGACGTACCTGGTGGAGAGGAAGTCGGCATTGGTGTTGACATCATCACTTGCTGGTCGTCAAGTTGTCTGGTTGCTTTCATGCTGTAGTTGTAGTGATAGGCTGTAGAGTAGGTAGGGGACCTGGCGCCATTCAAGAGAGAGAGCTACATTGGGTTATGCTGTTGGTGTTGCCCGATTGGGCTTGGACATTGACTCACGATTCTTCTGTATCGTTCTCAAATGGATGGTTACTCGGTTCCATTGTGCTATCTGCTCTTGCTTTGACTACTTGGACTTCAGTGTGATTTTGCAATCTGGTTTTCTGTGCTTCGTCCACATTCATGTTCCTTGCAACTAACAAAAAAGTTGACAAAAACACTGTGTTTTTTTCATGACCACTGACAAAAAAGTTGGCAAAAACACCGAATTCGGAAAACAAATTGGCGAACTCCGAAAGCTACTCCGAATAGGGTTTTATAGTGTGAAACGGTTTTCACCTTCGCAGTAACAGATGCAGATCCCAGGGATCGATCCATAGACCTCACCTCACCAGTGTACAGACCTCTGTGTGTTTGAACCCGTGACCTGCGTTTTATGAATCAGTTGTTGCTTGTCGTAGGTCTGTGTAGCTATAGGGGTTCGATCTGTAGATCTGTCGAGTAGGGGTCATAGTTGTGTAGAGGCTGTAGCTGTAGCAATTTTGAAAGGTCAAGGTCATAGCTGCGACAGTCCTGAAAGGTCAAGGTCATAGCTGCTACAGTCCCGAAAGGCCAAGTCCACAGACCTCTGGAAGGTCCGGAAGTGGCCTGTCGAGTTCCCCTCATGTTACCCAAAGCAGACCAGAGGCAAGTGGGCAAGTGGTGAGTCCAACTTCGC